TATATAAAATACACACACAATACAAATATATAATATACAAAAATTCTGTGCGTATCCTGGGGGCTAAGCCCCCCTTGTCCTTAATACCTAGTGACACCCCTGTGAACCAGTGCACAGGACTTTAAAGAAAGCATGTTCTTCGCTCATTAWGAGCTGTAAAAAATTGTTGAGTCATCCCTAAAGTTGAGTCAATAATCTCAACCGTAAATTATAAAAAGAACAACTGTAGCCATATAAAACTTTAACCAAAGAATCAGAGCTTTTCAAAAAAACAACAACTGTGCAGTAAAAACGAAGCRTTTCCAGTCTGAACCCTGTACACAGCTGATATCAGGATACTTGGATTTAAAAACACTACATAATTAAAAGTAGCTGCATGCACGTTCGGCTCGTCTACCTGAAGCTGTGAGATCGTAAAGCTGCTGTCCAGAATATTCACGGTGGCGTTTCCTTCTGCCAGGTTAACGACCTGCAGGAGACACTTCCCTGCAGGTGCTGGTTCCACCACAGTTTTCTAGCAGAAAGAAAAAGGAAATCAGCAGCCTGCTCATTGCTTCATCAGRACATTAAATCTAAACGCCCTGTCACACTATAACATCTTAGACAACTTATGTCAGCTTATAATAATATTTTTATGTCTAAAATAATAATTAGTTGTACATTTGATCAATTTGTTAGAATTAACGTATGTACACACCTAAAAGAGGCTTCCAGTAGATGTTTTTAATTCCACCTTCAATGCAGATGCCTTTAAGTTGTCTAACAGTTGTGAGAGTGTTTTTGTAGAAAACAGCATGATATAAGACTTCACCTCAAACCTACCACAACATTGACCTCCACCAATGTGGCTGCTCCAAAGGCAAGTGCTGCAAATATCATTCCTGCAGCCATTTTCCTCAAAGGCCTGAAGGCACAACAGACAGTGAGTTTACAGGATGAAGGTCTGAGCATCATCACCTCAACATCWTATGGCTTTTCTCCTGCAGCTTTTACACCACACAACGCCACAGTTATTCTGTATTAAAGGGATATTTGGCAGGAAGCCCCACTGCACACACACGTTTCACTACTTCAGGTCAAGTGTGTGTTTTGTTTTGTGATTTTCTTCAGTATTTTCCTGCCTGATAACTAAGAGGAAATAAATCCCAACATTAAGCTCCCTTAGACACAAAGAAACAGGATCTTTTCTCTTTAAGCAGAATTTTTAAATCTGTAGTTCTTAAAGCCGATTTAGTTCATTGTTTACTTGAATGTTAAATCTTAAACGGCATAAGTCTTTACAATTAAACATAAATATTCTGCTCAAGGTTAGATTGATCATTTTAATCTCACAGGGGTTTTCATGGTAATGCTAACAGACTAAATGAGTTGCAGCTTTTTCTCACGTGACTCTCCTTCCTGGCCTGTAAAAGCCTCGGGGCGTCATAAACACTGCAGCATCCAGAACAAGAGGGCCTGACTCACGTGATGTTGACTCTGCACAGGCCAACCAGTGGATATATGATGAGGTCAAAGATGGGCACAAAGAGCAGGATCATCAGAGCGTTCAGCATCTGAACAGAGCAGAGAGGAAAAACACCGGCCTTTAAACCACTCAATAAAAGTTCACTCAAACTCCTAAAACCATAAAAGTCTGAATCTCAGTGTGCATCGACTGTAAAGAGGTGGAAAGATGGCAGAGATAAGAAGCTGTAAAGGTGCTGACAGACGTTTCTGTGCAGAAACATTAAGACTGATTGGCTTTGTGCAAAAAATAAGTTTGTTTTAAAATAAACATTCACTCAGGTTTTCTTTCTTATCAGATGTGCTCAGYTTTGTGCTGTACAAATACATCCAAAGTGCTGGAATGAGAGACTTCCAGATGTAATTGTGTTTTAAGAGGTTGTGTCTTCACAGCACTTAGTCTATAAAACACCGGCCTCTACATTTACAGACAACTCAGTCTGTAAAGTCATCATAGATATCTTACACAGACACTCAGATCTTCCCAGTTTACATTAAAATGTTTTAATTCATGTCCAATAAAACAAGCAGCACAACTAAAGTAGATGTCACAGTTGTACAAATGAAGGACATAAATGAAGGAGGAAAACTGGTTTTAGTTGATCAACTACAGAACAATAACACTGCTGTGGTCCTTCATGACAGGGGGTCTTAACCTTTTTGACCTCGGGGCCCAGTCAGACATTACCACTGTATGGATCAAAATGATAATTATTATAAATCTTGGTTTAATTTTTTATTGTATTGACATTATAACTAAGTTAAATACACTTAAATTGTAAAAGTAAAACTCCTGTCAAATAATCACGACATGATTATAACAAACATTTTTATATTGTAACCTGACCATAACTATTATTTGAACAAATACAAAGGTCAGTCAACAGACATAAACAATAACAAAAATAGACAATTCAATAAATACAACTGTGGGCATAAAAT